AACCATTCTATCCCTCATTCTAATCATATGTTGTTTCCAATTTTCTAAAGTTATTTCTATTAAAATTTTACAACACAATCTCATGTACCTTTACTGAATCCCCCTTTCAGTTAGATTTTCACCCATTATCTCTAAATAGGTCCTGTTTCTTTATATCTTGCTCCGGACCTTTGTAACTTCTTTTCCTTTCCTTCTTCCCTCTCTTCTCCTCTCTCCCCTTTTTACCCCTGTGTCTCTCTACCTCTATTTCCCTCTTCTGTATTCCCCTTTTCTGTTGCTTTCCAGTATTATGCTTATTTTTTGAATTATTTTTCTTTTCTTTGGTTGTTTTTTTAAGTCTTAAATTCTCCATTCTCTTTCCCCCCCTTTCCTTTTTCTTCCCCACGTAGAGTTACTTGTTCATTAAAGATGGCTTCTTTGTCCCAGTCTTCTTGTTTTGCAGTCTTTTCTTGTTGTTTCTCATAGTTCCAAATCTCCATTTCTAAGAATTGAAAAACGAAGCCAAAAGAACCCTTCCCTTCTTGTGCATCTTCTTTGTACTTTTTAAGTTTAATTTTCAATTCATCCAAAAGTAATGCCATTGTAGAAATTTTTAAACAATCACCCGATTGATTTTAGTCATTCAAATATAATAACCAAAAATCCAAAAGTCACCAAGTAATCCAAATACACACAAGCTGTTTCTTTTTGCTCTTTCTTTTTTTCCCCACTTTCTCTTCCTGGGGTTACTATTTAGTTGCAAAGTTTCAGTTAAAATGTATCTTTTAGAAGTCTTATTGAAATTTTACTTTAGATTCTTTTAAAGTCCAGGCAGTCTCCTCCCTCTTCCAGATCCTGCCCTTATTCTTTTTCTCTCCCTTCCTGCTTATAGAAGAAAAAGGTTTTGATGTCCAGAAATCTTTATTGTGGTTCCAGTTTGAAGGGCTTTGGTGACAGACAGGAATCCGCGATCGTGCATGGTTTCTGCCTGGGCTCGCCGCTGGAACGCCCCAAGCCGGCTGGTTTCAGGGCTAAGCCACCACGTAGAGGTGGTGAAGAGGGGGGAGATTGCCAGCAGGGTCGAGGAGAGCCGCATCTCTCCTCCTCAGCTGGCCATTACTCCCTTTCCCGAAGGCGGTAGGAGCGGTGGTCAGAAATGGCCACCTCAAAGAAGAACTCAACCGGAAAAGAACATGCAGGAGGAAGATAAGAAGTGAAAGTTTTGGCTGACCAGGCTAAGTTTAAAAAGCAATAACTAAGGTACCCTGGAATTTAAATTTTACAAGAAATAACATTGCTCACACTTTCTCTTTCTGTTCTCTTTCGTTTTGGAGCTGTCCCAACTTCAGCAGCTTTAATGGCTGCCTCTTTGCCGCTGGCAAGAAGAGCTTCTCCTGGATCTACCAGGGACTTTGCGGTATCCCTGGGATCGACAGGATGCACTCTTCACTTTCACTGTCTCTTCGGGATGGTTTAGATCCGATAGGACCATCCAGAAGCAAAGATATCGGCAGCGATCTCAGACCTCCAAGATCGCATGCCGTATCGTCGCAACCCCAGTTCCGCCCTCCACATTTTCCATTTTAGTAGAATCCAGATGTTCACCAGATTTAGAAAAAAAAAAGATGCTGCTCCTAATTGTTTATTTTGTGATGAAAACTTAAGAGTCTTTACACATCAACTGCAAGCCATTTTACTCTCCACGTGAGTTCTCCTCATTTCTCCTAATAGCTGTATATGTTCCTCCACAAGCCTGTGTAAACAAGGCATTACAAACTCTTGCTGATCAAATTATGGAGGCTGAAGCCAAACACCCAGGTTCCCTTCCTATCATTTTAGGAGATTTCAATCAAGCAAATTTAAGGAAAGAGCTCCCAAAATATTTCCAGCATGTAAATTGTCCCACCAGAGGCAAAAATACTTTAGACCACTGCTACACAACAGTAAAAGATGCTTATAGGTCTTTACCACGAGCAGCTGTGGGACACTCTGACCACTGCATGATTCATCTTGTACCTGCCTACAGACAAAGACTTAAAACCATTAAACCAACAATTAAATCAGTGAAGACTTAGTCGGATGAGGCACAGCTGAAACTCCAGGCCTGCCTTGATTGCACTGATTGGAATGTTTTTGAAGATGCCTCTGCAGACCTACATGAGCTCACAGATACTGTAACATCATGTTAGCTTCTGCAAAGACTTATGTGTACCAACAAGGAACCTGCAAATATATAGTAACAATAAACCTTGGTTCACAGCTAAACTTGAGCAGCTATGTCGTTCCAAAGAGGAAGCCTACAGAAAAGGTGACAGAATGCTATACAACCAGGCCAGAAACATATTTCACAAGAGAGATCAGAGCAGCAAAAAGAAGCTACTCTGAAAAGTTAAAGAATCAATTCTCAACAAATGAACCAGCAAACATGTGGAAAACTCTTAAAAACATCACCGGCTTCAGCAAACCTCCTTCCCAGGCAGAAGGAAATCAACAACTAGCAGATGACCTGAATGTGTTTTACTGCAGGTTTGAAAAGAAAGTACAGCCACCTATCTCCACAACCCACATCTCAAACACACCAACAACAGCCAAGCCTCCTACAACTGGCCCCAATCCATTGGGCTCACAACCTCTGGTGATCACAGAAAAAGAAGTGCAAGATCTATTACACAGATAGAAGCCAGGAAAAGCACCAGGGCCAGATAAGATAACTCCTTCTTGCTTAAAAGTCTGTGCTGACCAACTGGCCCCCATCTTCACCTGAATCTCCAATAGATCACTAGAGATGTGCTATGTTCCTTCCTGCTTCAAACGTTCTACCATCATCCCAGTGCCAAAGAAGCCCTCCATCAAGGAACTGAATGACTACAGACCAGTTGCTCGAACATCTGTAGTTATGAAAATCTTTGAAAGGCTTGTGCTGTCCCATCTGAAAACCATCATGGATCCGCTGTTAGATCCCATGCAGTTTGCATACTGAGCAAATAGATCGACAGATGATGCTGTTAACATGGCTCTGCATTACATCCTACAACACCTTGAATCTCCAAATACCTACATAAGGGTCCTCTTTGTAGACTTCAGTTCAGCATTCAATACCATCATTCCAGACACTCTTCTAAGTAAATTAAACCAACTAGCGGTACCTGAACACACTTGTAAGTGGATCATAAGCTTCCTAACAGACAGGAAGCAGCAGGTGAAGCTAGGCAGAATCACATCCGATACCTGTACAATCAGCACTGGGGGCCCCCAAGGCTGTGTGCTTTCTCCACTTCTCTTCTCCCTATATACCAATGACTGCATCTCAAATGATCCATCTGTTAAAATACTGAAGTTTGCTGATGACACAACAGTGATTGGTCTCATTCGAGACAACGATGAATCTGCATACAGACAGGACGTTATACAACTTGCCTCGTGGTGTAACCAGAACAATCTGGAACTGAACACACTCAAAACCATAGAAATGGTGGTAGATTTAGAAGAAACCCTCCCATACTATCACCTCTTACAATACTAGACAACACAGTATCAACAGTAGAGACCTTCAAATTTCTAGGTTCTACTATATCACATGACCTAAAATGGACACCTAACATCAAAAATGTCATCAAAAAAGCACAACAAAGAATGTTCTTTCTGCGCCAACTCAGAAAGCTCAAACTGCCCAAGGAGCTGCTGATACAATTCTACAGAGGAATTATTGAGTCTATCATCTGCACCTCTATAACTGTCTGGTTTGGTTCTGCAACCCAACAGGATAGACACAGACTTCAGAGGATAATTAGGACTGCAGAAAAAACAATTACTACCCACCTGCCTTCAATCGAGGACCTGTATACTGCACGAGTCAAAGAGGGCTGTGAAAATATTTACAGACCCCTCACATCCCGGACATAAACTGTTTCAACTCCTTCCCTTAAAACAATGCTATAGAGCACTGCACACCAGAACAACTAGACACAAGAACAGTTTTTCCCCGAAAGCCATCACTCTGCTAAACAAATAATTCCCTCAACACTGTTCAACTATTTACAAAGTGTACACTATTATTAACTATTACTGTTAATCTTCTCATCACTCCTTATCACCCATCCCCTCCCACTTGATTGTTTCCTAGTATGATTTGATTCTTGATTGTACCCTATGACTATCATTAAGTGTTGTACGTTATGATTCTTGATTCTTAACGAATGTACCTTTTCTTTATGTATACTGAGAGTATTTACACCAAGACAAATTCCTTGTGTGTCCAATCACACTTGGCCAATAAAGTATTCTATTCTATTCTATTCTATTCATGTACCTTGAGGCAGCAGGCTAACTTAAGGGCAGGATATGGGACATAGCTTTTTCCTCCAAGATATTCTAATCTTGCTGCATCCCAATAACAATCCACTTGAGAAGACTGCTTTACACTGTCTAATGGTAAGACTATCCCTGGGATAAAGGCAATCAGCTGAGCATTCGATTATGCATTTGGAATATGTCCAAATCTATCGAGACATACAGTATACAGATATGTATATCAATATACTATAACATTCTAACACCTTATCTATACAATACAATTGAAGCAATATAGTATCTAATTACAAGCAATATATTGATACTTTTATTTTACCAATGAAGAACACTGAACTTTAAAGATAAGGCCAATCAAGAAAATGTTTTTTATTTTAATTTAAAAATAATCTTGGTATAGTTATAATGAATAATTCCTAGAGATATTACTGCCCAAATGTTTACTTTAAACCTTGAATTATGTTCTTCCTTCTGTTGGACTACATCAAAGGTCTCCAAACTTGGCAACTTTAAGACTTGTGGACTTCAATTCCCAGAATTCTCCAGCCAGCAGAGCGTTAAAATCCACAAGTCTTAAAATTGCCAAGTTTGGAGACTCCTGGACTACATCAACAAAAAAGCCAACAAAGCCATGAGTATTGATGGCTTTATAAAAAATTCTAATTAAAAACCCCTTGTCAACATTTATGGGAAGGCTAAATAGCAAAACCTACTTTTTGAAGAGCATTATGCTCTGAATTGAGCACTGCTCCAACAGGCAAACGATGTCGAATATCTTCAGCAATACTTCTGAGAATGATATCATCATTATTGCATGTAAATTCATCAAAGTCGTCTGCAAAAATAGGGAAAACACAGTTTGCAGTGATCATGTGAAACTCAAGGCAATAGCTTTATTTAACTTGGCTGCTGAATGAGCAGATTCCTAGAAGTACAGATTCTACAAACATTCATCAAAAGAAAATTAATGGCACTAGTTGTACAATCAGTAAACAGGCATGAAGCCAGTTAGTTATCAATCAAGAATGCAAGGTCTAGAAGAAGAAACTAGGGGGGAATACAGTAGCCTTTAAGACAAACAGGGGGAAGACTCAGTAATGGACTGGAATGACAATCAGGCCAAAACAGGACAGTCTCAGTTTTATTCATATTCAGCATTAGGCAATTAAAGGGAAATGCTGATAAAATGTTTCATTACAGCTGATCCAGAGGTGGTATTCAGCAGGTTCTCACCAGTTCTGGAGAACTGGTAGCGGAAATTTGGAGTAGTTCGGAGAACCGGCAAGTACCACCTCTGCCTGGAGATTTTACAGTATCTTTCCCCTGCCATGCCCAAGAAGCCATGGCCACAGAACCGGTAGTAAAAAATTTTGAATCCCACCACTGAGCTGATCATGCTTTGCCATCAAGATTGATAGTCAGTATATCAGTGATGTTAGAAATGTTGATCAGGAATCCAAGGAACAACAAAAACAGTCTCCAAGACTGATCCTTGAAGGACACCTCCAAAATCCATTACACAATATTGCAAAATAAAAAAAAATAGAAATTCAAAATTCACTACCAACAATGCCCCCCAATTGATATCTAGTGAATGTTCATTTATGCCCAAAGATTGTAACATAAACAATTATCTTAATACATATATACTCTAATTGTTTTTTGCCAGGAGATATAGCAAAGGTTAGATGGCTTTTCCAGAGAGAACAAATTTTATACCAAGCAACCAGATGCAAAGTGAACCAACCCAGTGGGACATGTCTGTACTCTTACTCTTAGGGGCAATCTATCATAATGCCTATGTCAAAACAAATTTCAAAAGCAACACAGCTTCCATGTATTCTTACTGGAGAAAAATATAGGATGCCGTATCTTACTTCTGGGTTTCCCAGAGTCACTGAGGAATACAATACATTGAACCAAATGCCCAATTAATTTGATTCAGCATGTTTGGTGCGATTAAACAACCCCTTCTCCATGCGGTTTCCCCAAGTCAACAGACCTGTAACAGTCAACAAAAGCAATGATAAAAACGGGCAGATAAGCGAAGTATAAAGCAAATAAACGTTCTGCGTATAGAAGAGAGGGGGAAAGATGGGGGGAAAGATGGAAAGGCACATCCCCCCCAAAAAGTACATGTTACTGTCTGGCAACCCCACGTTATACTATTTCAAGTGTTGGAGGGGGGGGATAAGACGCATAAGAAGAAACTCCGCTTACTAGTTGTTCTCAGCCAGTGCAGCAGGCGAGGCAACTCCCCCGCGCGCGCACCCTTTATTACGTCCAGCACAGCTTGGCGAGCCGAAGGAAAGTCCATCCTTACCTGGTCGAAGGTACCGCGCAAGCGCAACTCGATCAACTTTCTCCTTACGCCTAGATAAGCCAGACGCGTACCGTTCGGCCTTGAACGCATGCGCAGGAGTCGTTGCCATTATTTTTTCCCTTGCTCCGGGGATTATGAATAGGATGAGTCTTCTCGGAACTTCCTGGTATTCCTCCTCTTTTGTTTTAAAGAGCCGCGTCCGAGCCTCGTTTTGTGTGGCGATGAATAATTTTGCTGGTTTTGAATGCAGCTCTTGGCGTAATGATTCCGAACGATGTTGATTTATTTATCATTGGTTCTACCTCGCGGTGCAGATTGCCTCTGGCAAAAAAAAAAAAGAGCCAAACTTAGCAAGTTGAATGTTAACCTTTAAATTATGCTAAAAGATTTTTTTTTAAATCATCCCTATGAATCTGGGTCAGAAACATAGTTTTGCGGAAGTTTATGTAATTTAGACAGAAATTGGCTCCTTGACTTCAACAGTCCTTACTCCTTTTCCTCCTTATGTTTTGGACAACGTTTCTCAACTGCAGCTGTTTTAAGATAGGTGAACTTCACTTCCCACAATTACCCAACTTGGCTGGGGAATTCTGGGAGTTGAAGTCCACCTATCTTAAAGTTACTGGGAGGCACTGCTTGATCAGATAGATATAAACCGTTTTTGCAAAACGCTTCAACAAAATATAGACTGTCTCCAAGTTTGGCAACTTTAAGATTTGTGGACTTCAACTCCCAGCTGGGAATTCTGGGAGTTGAAGTTCACAAGTCTTAAAAGTTGTCAAGTTTGGGGGTCCCTGATTTATACGGATATACAGTTACAACCGTTTTCAACTAAGAGACGTGTACTCGGAAGCTGAAGCCAACGCGCACCTCTTCCTTTTTGTACATCTGTATATATTTTACTCCTTCCTCAAAGGGGACGTTTCTCACAGATGACCCGGAAGCAGAGTTTGTCTTAGGGGGAAGGATGATAACTAGCTGATTTGTTTAGTGGTGACGTGACACTCTTCCTAGTTGTCTGGATGCCAATTCCTGGTGTCGGGTCTGGTTTAGCGGCTTTCTGAGGGACCCCCTAAGTCGACCCGGACTGTTGTGTGGCTTTCAGAGCGGGGCCAAATTAGGCCGCCGCTTCGTTTCTCGGTAAGGTTTCCGTTGGAAGGCTGGTCGCTTTTCGGTAACCCGAGTCCGCAAATGTGAGACCCCTCCAGACTGTTTCAGGTTACCCCTTTGCATAGGTACACATTTCAAAGCTTTGGGCGGAGGGGAAGCACAGGTGCTGCTATCCCGTGAAGTTAAAAATGCAGGTCCTGCTTTTGCAGTGATGCCACAAGTTGCACTAGTTGAAGCCTCTTCAGGGGGTAATTGAAATCCTCGGTGCCCATCAAGTAATCTGGATGCTTTTCTTACGACAGCCGGGTATATAGTAGTCCTTTAAAAAAAAAATGAATATTCTCCCCTTTTATATTTGTGTCTAAACTGATGATCAGAAACTGGTCTGGGCTGTTATTCAGTATACTGGCTATGTTCACATACCGTCTTAACCATGATTTATCCAATTACTTTTTTGGGTCGTGTATAATATAGTGGGATATACCATAAGTACACGGCTTGGGATTGCACTGCACAGGGTATGCTAAACCGAGATTAAATTTCAATGTTTGTGCAATTATAGGCAATTTGAGTTTTACTTGCTTATTATGATTTCTGTTCAGACGCATCCAATATTTGTGTTATATAAGTTATATAAGTTATATATATATTTTCTTGTACAGATTCTAGTTTTTTTAAACAAATTGCTGTCACACCGTCAAATTGTTCCATCCTAATTGTTGAATTCAGGCAGTTTGGTCAAGAGATTATTAGAGCAACAATGCAGATGATCTGAAATTGTTTATTGTTATATGTGTGGCTAGTTTAAATTATCCTGTAAATGAGTAAAATAGGAATTTAAACTATATCTCATCTCCTAAAGCAGCTCACAAAATAGTAACAGTAAATAGTGTCTGGCAGGTGATACAGAATAATAAAAACAAGGACAAATAGGCAGAAAAACAGCTGCTTTCCCAGGGCAGTAGCTCTTTTGAATTCTGCTGTATTCACCAGTATTGGTGCCGTGTTGGGGGTTTTCGGTTCAATGTGTGAAGGGTGAAGGATGTGTGTTTGTGTTTATTTTCATGGTCATGGTCATGGTCATGATGTGCACTGAAGATGGTGTTTGATTTCATTGTATGAGGTGCAATGACAAACTAAACTAAACAGATTGCAAATAGAACAGGTTCCCTTCCACATATTGCTTGATATAATTAGCAGTGCAATTGTAAGAATGCTTGCTTGCATTGAAGCCTATTAATTAAAAGTGTTACAGAATTATAGCTGAAATTTAGTTATTCTGATTTCATTTTTTTCTCTATAGTTCCTTCTAGTCTTTTCCAGTTAATTAAGGAATTCTAATGATTAATTATTCAGCTAGATGAGCAACCTCATATTTGTTTAATGAAAGTTTGCAGGTATTAAAAGGGTATCAGTTAACAGGCTATAAAGTCATAAATATTATTATGACAAATAACCCATGGAGGTAGTTACTTTCTTCCCCCAAAAATATGATCAACAAATGCTGGATTACGTATTTGGAATTACAAACTCTGATGAAATGGGAACTTTACTTCCCTTTAAACTGACATATATTGCTGTCAAATTATTTTAACCAAATTTGACATGTTCTCCATTGTTTTCTTACTGAGGATGGAAAGAGATTCTCCAATAACTGCACTTCAGAACTACAGTGGGTGGTGGGAATCATATTAAAGCAATACAAACTGCACTGATTCCCAGTAAGCTTCTGAGTGCAATTTAAAGTGCTGATTAAAGCTCTTAACAGCTGAAGGCCAGTTTATTTACTGGATTGCCTGGGCAGCCATATAAGTTGAATAAATATATAAAATAGATAAGTTAATTTTGAAACTAGAAGGAAAAGCTGCCAATTTAACCAATGTAGTCTACCTCTTAAATTGCCAACAGTGCAAGTTGTAGCATCAATTTCTTATATTGGAGATGAAAATTGTTATTATATAGTTACTATTGGATTACTTTAGTTCTGAGAAGTCATAATTCATGGTACTCATGACAAGTTATATTAACAAGAATAGAGCATTGTATTAAATTTGTTTGCCACCCATCCTGCTCAAGGAGACTTTATGGTTTGTAAAAGGAGACAGAATCTCAATTATGTGCACTATATGGTGCTTTTCTGTGGCTGTCAGAATGCAAGCAGTTTTGATTTCCTGTAATAAATTCCTATGGTATATTTTCAGAGCATTTTACAGGATCAGGAAGGGTTATATTTGCTATATTTCTACAAATCAGAAGACAGAACCAAGCAATGGTGGAAAACAATTAGGTTTCTATATTTTCAATAATTGTGTTTTATGAGATAGCCTCTACTGAGCACTATTTTAATTTCCAGTCTTGCTCTTGGAAATATAGATAACTATGTGGCAACCTTGGAAGAAGGGCTATGGCTGATGTGTCCTCTTCTTTTTAAGGTTTCATGCTTGAATAATGATATTTTCTATAT